CTAAATAATCATTCAATTTCATAAAATTAACATTAAATTCTTTGAATTTAATAGTTAGTCTTATCAAATTAATATTAGTTTTTAAAATTAAAATTTTGTTTGATATATATTTTTTATATAAAACATTCTATTTAATTCAAATTTGCTTTTAATTTAATTTAATTAATATTAAAATGATGTTTACTACTATTTTAAACTTATTAGTATAAATGGCTAAGGATAAATTTGATAATTCATAAAAGAATAAATCACCACATCACACCAGGATAGTTTGTAAAATATGTATATAAACTAAAAGGGTGTGCTATAATATTTCAAAAATCAGAAGGGTGTTATTAAAATATAAGTTAAATTCAAGAAGCGTTAGTGAAATTTACTCAATTAAAACAACTAAAAGATGATTTTTAAAAGTTGAGGAGAGCCATAAGGGCGCACCGGGAATAATGTTCCAGAGGAGAGAATTATGACTAACAAAATTCACCAACTAATACAAAATATTACTCCAACCATTTTAAAATGTGTTTTGATTTAAGATTAAATTAGTAAACGAAAAAATATTAATCAGTTTCCTTTCGGCCGGAGAACATAAAATATTTTTCTTAGTACATTTTAACTTAATCGTTTATTAAAACAGCACGCGTCATATGAAAATTTGGTACAAGTGCTTGCGCATTGACTGGAATCGTTTTCAATTAGTCGTACTCTTCCTTGTCATTAAATGCTATCCTTCCCGGAAGGTCTCATCCATGCAGTCGGGTATTATTATGCATATATATATATATACTAGTTGTACATTGGTTATGAGGGAGACCCAGAATTGTCATTGAGCACCCTCAATCATTACTTTCAAAACCCTTTGTTGCTTCTGCCATCAATGATCAATGGCTTCTTCTTCATCTTCCAAGTATCCGTATCCACCGGAGGATGTCGATGTCGGAGACTTTGTCACCATCAAGCTCTCTAACACGAACTACAAAACCTGGAAAGCCATAATGCTTCGCTTTATTGGGATTCAAGGTCTGCTTGGGTTCATCAATGGCGAAATATCACCACCTCCTGCAGAGAGGATTACAGTACCCGACGGGAGCGATGGCACAAGGAAGACAGAGAATATGGAGTACAAGGAATGGGAAAGATCAGATACGCTGTTGAGAGATTGGATCTTAGCAACACTCAATCAAGATCTCTTACCTCAAGTGTCCATGTTGAAAACTGCCCAAGATTTGTGGTTGGCACTAGAAAAAGCCTTAAATCAACCTCTCTTGGATGAAACTAAAACCGGTAAGGGACCTCTCTCTCTATTTACTATCTATTTGCTTCTAGTAATGTTGAATTTGATAGCAACAGTACTACACTACTGGGTAAGGGTAAGGGTAAGGGTAAGCTTTACTTGTTTTTGTCTCATTTACAAAAATATAGTTTAGATATTTCACTAAATTTTATTTATTTATAATTCAAACAAACTAAAAATCGAGCCGCAAACTAAGATCCTTGGATGTCAATTTGAATATTTTGTGATGCCAGACCAAGAAATTACAATATCAAGAACTTCAAAGGCAGCAAAGTTGCCATCCCATCTATCCAGTGATTTAGTGATATTCTTATTAGTATAGGATGAAATTTCATCTTCATATAAGGGCTATTACCTGTTTTTGGATAAAAATGAAAAACAAGAAGTAAAAGATGTTGTCTTATGTGAAAACTAGTAATAGCTAGTACATGAAAACACGATTTAATATAAAAAAAAATCTGAAAAGGTCAAAAAATTGATCCTTTATATTAAATAATAATAATTTCTTTCTTTCTCTTTTTTTAATTTCTACCAATTATTTTTTAAAACAAAAATAATAACATATGTACACTATCATTTATAAAGCACAAATTATATTGAGTCACAAACTAATAAAAAATTAAATGATTCAATTTACAATAGAATGTGTGAAGATAGAATTCAGATGCCTAACTTTCATATTATATAGATATAGATGCTAATTAAGTAATGCAGTGGTTAAGATCAAGTAATGTTTTGAGTTGACACTTGAATTTTGGATAAATATATTAAAGCTCCTTTTAAATTAAGGCAAAATAAAATTATAAAACTTTGTTTTCAAATTTATTTTTGACAGTCTCTTTAAATTTGAGCCCAAAATAGTATTTAATTAACGTTAATTCATTCAATCTTATTTCTTATCTTATTTTTCAATCACTACAAATATTGAGATAATTGAAAAAAGGCTAATGGTATATTTTTCCTGCATCTAAGGAAGCTTGTTGGTTAGAGAATGACTAGTTGACAAAGTCAATCTCAAACACAATAACTTGGAAAAATGGTACTCAAATTTTTTTTAAAAAAAAATCAAGTTACATTTTGAGAGGTAATTCATGATCAATAATAAAATATTGTAGTCAATCATAAATAACCCTTAATAGCATCTCTAATCCTGACTTAATTTGAGTTTAATGTTCTGTTTAGTACGATGAAAAAATAGGAGGCTGAAAAGTTAGAATGATGGAAAATTAGAGTGATAAATAAAACATCATATTTAATAAGGAAGAAAAGTAGGAAGAATTAAAAAGTGAATGAATTAGGAGCAATGCTACGTGAATTTAAAAAGTAGACTTCTTTCCTTTCAACTCACCAAAATCAATCCCTCCAAAATCGGAAGAAAAAAATTAATTATTTGTATTGAAATGTATCTTATTTGTCTATATACCTTTTTATATATACATATATTATGTATAAATTAATTTCAAATAAAAATACAATAATAAAATATGTGTGTATATATATATATATATATATATATATATATATAAAATTATATAAATAAATTTTTAAAAAAATAAAAAAAATAAAAAAAATTTAAAATAAAAAATTTATATTTTTTCCATTTTAATTAAAGGTAAAAATTTTCGACTTGACACGATTTGAACTCGATACAAAAATAAATAAATAAACTAGCAACTCGACACGACATAATTAATTAAATTAGTCAAATTAAATATGATTAATATTCGACACAAATTCGTAATGACTCAACATAAATCTGACACAATATGACTCAATTATCATCCCTAATCTTAGTCAATACAAAATAAAAAAAAATTATTTTTATTTTTTATCCATCTAATCAAATATAAAGGAAAAAAAATGTACTTTTTTTACTTTTCATTATTAAATAATAAAAAAATATCTTTCATATTATTTATCCGTCTTCCTCTTCATCTACCCTGCCGAACAAAGCATAAATGATCCAAATATCTTCTCTAACATTGCACTCAAATCTAGACCAAATGAAGAAAAAATTCATTCCCGATCTAAATTAAAGAGATCCAAATTTTTAATTCTATACCAAATTTTTAATATTCTATGCAAATCAAAAAAACTTTCTCAATGACTTGATCTCTCCTTGTTCCTGTCTCTCTCTTCTACGCTGCTTCTGTCGCCGATCATCGTTGAAGTCTTCACAGATCCTTTGAAGACATGTATCTAAGCTCCACATCTCCGAAAGAGAGAGAGAACAACCCCGTTTGCCTGCGCTTAATCCCCTGTAGCTCCACATCTCCTCCAACGTGAAAACGAAACCCACCGCCCATCACGGACTTGAGCACCACCGTGTCACCACTGCAAGTGTGCTTCACAAGAGTTATATACCAGTGCGAGTCCCAGCCTGGCTGAGCCCACCCTATTTTCTGCCTTTAAAGCCCTCATGGAGGTCCAAGGACCCAAATCTCTCCTACTACCTCACCAACCTTAAAAACCCAAATCAAATCTGCGCTTGGATGGGCCGGAAGACCATCATCAACCTCACTATACCTTACAACAGTCCATCTCTTTCTCATACCAGCTGTCATCTTTTGCCCTGTAGAGTAATGTAAGTTTCTTGAGCTTTGATGATTTGTTGTGGAGAATAATGGCAACGTATTGTTTGCTGGAAATTGGTTATTTTAATTGGAATTGAACTGAATCTTAATTTAGAACTGGGTTAGAATGTGAAAACTTTCAGTGGATTTCGTAGCTGGGAATGTAGTTGTGGGTGGGAATGTTTATTTATGTATACTCATATTGTACTGGCTTTAATTTGTCGTCATCAAATCCCACCACCTAATTCGACTATTGTCTCTGGTAGCTTAATTTGAAGCGTGTGTTAAAAAATGCAAGTGAATCATAGCCTGCAATGCATGAAGTGGATAAAAAATAACCCATAAAATTTATCACTACTCTTTCCCTAAAGAAATCAAAGACAAGTTGTCTGGTCTCCATGAGCCAGGGCAGAGTCAGAAATTCCATCTAGAGTGGGAACTTTGCTTAAATACTTTATTTTTTTTTCTTCTCAATTAATAAAAATAAAATAATATATTGAAATTTAGTGCATTGTATTTGATACTTATAGATTCTTAAGATACAAAAAGGGTTAAATGTCGATAAATATAACATATATATATATATATATATATATATATATATATATATATATATATATATAATATAAATTAAAAAAGAGGCTAATAACAACCTTTCACAACAAATGAGACTAATTGCATAAAAGATACTATAGTCTTTCTTGATATAACTAATTAAACTATTAGCCATTAATCACTCATTCAATTATAGGACCTAGTTTTTATTATCTATATAGCTCAAAAAATGAGTTGGACATATAAAAAATTTATCTAAGTATATCCATAAAGTATCTAAAAAGCGTTCAAAAGTTTATAGTTATTTAATTATGTGACTATACTAATTGATAGAACAAAAAATAATATAGTAGAAACACTTAAATATACTTACAATTATTTGAAATATGCAAGAAAAAGTTTAGGGTGGACCTGTCCCCCCGGGGGGGGGGGGTCCTCATGTGGCTCTGCCCGTGCCTCGACCCTTGCTGGCTTTTGTTCTATGATCTTGACTTTGGGTCAGGGGTTTAAGGTTTGTGGAAATAGAAGCTATTCAAAGTTATGTTTAAGCAAACATGTTTTTTTTTATTCATACGTGATTGATGACAGGGGAAAACAGAGCAGCTGGGAAAGATCTTAGCCATTATCTGCCTCTGTACGAAGCTGCACTCCATGGTGACTGGGAGAAAGCCAGCACAATTTTGGAACAAGATCCAAAAGCTTTCAAGGCAAGAATCACAGGAGCCTCAGAAAGGGCTTTGTTCGTGGTGATTAGATCACCGAGGAAAAACCATTTTCTAAAGAAGCTGGTGGAGCATATGTCATCAACCGATCTGGCTTTCGTTGACGAAGATGGCTCAACAGCTCTTCATATAGCTGCAATAGCTGGCAACATCGAGGCAGCCAAGTTGCTGGTGAATAAGAACTCTGACCTGCCTAATATTTTGGACAATAATAACTCACTACCTATCCATTCAGCTGCAGCTTGCGGTGAACGGGAGATGTTTCTCTACTTAAAGACAGTTACCAACGCAAACATGGAGCCGAAGCCATTCGAGGATGAATCAGGTGTTAGACTAGTTCATGCTCTGATAACTTACGGATATTATGGTGAGTAGCAGGTTTTAAACACTAAATGAAGAATAATACTTATAAGAAACCAGTATGATTTCATCATTTTTTGGCTATTATACATTTAATACTAATTAAAAAACAGTTAATGTGCCAGAAAGAAAGCTAATATGGTGATTGATTTCTCATTATTCTGTCTTTCCTATCAATGTTACAGACCTGGCTCTCACTTTGGTTAAGTGCTGCCCTAAGTTGGCATGTTGGGATCCATCTCCTTTGCAATCAATTACAGTAAAACATTATGCTTTCCGAAGTGGAGCACGCTTAAAACACTGGCAAAGATTGATCTACAATTGTTAGTCTTTTCAATCTTTTTCCTCTTTTGTGTTTCTTATTATGCAAATATTTCTTCTTTGAACACTGTTTGCATATTAACTTCTGTACCTTTTTTTTGGTCACATCCTAAATTTTCAAAGTATGATTTGATGTTGTATATAATTCTAATATATATATACCAGTTCTCAATGTCCGAACCTGGTTAAATCTGATGATCAGTAATGACTGATGGCTCTCCCATTATCTGCAAGATAGAAACTGATCAAATGGATGGCAGAGCTCACCAGTAATGGATATTTTGTCATGCATTCCTGGCATCCTGACCTCCATTTTCTCTCTAATCCAGCTTAGTAAATTTTTAGCTAGAGGAACTGAATGCTGGTTCTTATATTAAGAGCGCAACTTGCACCGGTGGATCACAAACCTGGGAGAATTTTTTTATTGTTAACTTCAATGTTTTAGCAGGAGCAAATGAGGTCCTAGAAATGTATTTCAGATTTTTAGAGGGCCTGGGTTGATTTGAGAGGGGCATCTTGCTGATGATGTGTTTGATTGATATGAAAACAATGACAATTTGCCTTTCACATACATTGTCAGATTGATGTTAAAAACTAGTTAGACCTAATGATTGGTAATGATTGATGGCTGTCACATGATCTGCAAGGCAGAAACTGGTCAAAGGAGTGCTGAGGCTCGTCAGTATGAGCTGATAAAGAGTCATTGACACTTAATTCAGTAAAAGAAACTGATATTATAAAGAGGAACATTAGGGTCCGAAGGCTGAATAACAAGCGTGCATTGCATAGCTCAGCTATGAAGGTTCATCCCCTTTATATAATGGATGTCCAATGAAGCAGGCAAGACTATACAAGATGTTGGATTTCATGGGATGCTCCTGTCCTGGAATCCTGCTCGTCTTTCTCTATCTTGTATTGTGCTAACAGACGAGGTGAGGTGAGCAGACATTTTAAGTAAAAAGATGAGGAGGCAGCTCCCTAATGGTCAGATTACCACATTTATGTCCTGTAATCATAAGGGGAAATTTCTATTCTCTGCCACTACGACATGCAACCTCGTATATTCAAACACTTCGAAAGGATGACTACTAATACACGATTTTGGCCTTTATTTGACCACTACTAGCACATCACCAGTATGTTACACCAATTGCAGGGGATTTCCTCCTCCAGCAGATTCTAGTTTTCATTTAACCACTACAAACTGGCACCACCCAGCTGAACCAATCAGAAACAAAAGGTATCATCTAGTAAAAAACCATATGGAAACTCCTAAATAAAGTTATTATGTCTACATTAAACAGGTATGAGATGCAAGCTTAAGCAAATACACAGATCAGAATCTGCTTTTATAACTTCTACCCACTCCTCTATCTCTAAACTCACGAAGCATGCAAGAGTTGATGTTTCCTGTAGCCCTATGTCTCACTTTTATTTGTCTTGAGTGTCAGAGATCCTTATCATGCTAGTATATCATTATCTCTGGCTGGTTCTGCATTCTGCTTTTCTTTTCTCATATTTGATTGGGTAGTAGTCATACTCATACGCATGTCCTTGTGATCTAGTTTTGGCATCAACAATGGAAATATTATTAACAAGACTATAAATTTATACTCAATTGAGTAGTTTGTGTTTGAAAGAGCATTAGACTAACCTTTTATTCCGTGACCTTCGTTTTGCATAAGCATACTTACATTAATATTTTCTTCTGTCATATAGGTGTTCCTGCACAGTTGGAAAACCTTGCGGACCAACATAGTGGAGGGGACATAGAGAATCCTGTCCATGGTTGCATTTCAGGTTCGTCAGAGTTCAATCAATGTAATTTTTCTTTTCTTATGCTTTTCCTTCTCCTTTTATCATTACATTTTTACTTTCCCTACTTTTGTTTTAGAATTAAAGAAGGCATATAGGTATGGATCTCACACTATAGCTATTATACCCAATCTTTGATGCAATTACATATTACTAAATTTAGTTCTAAAAGCCACATGCCTAAAGAATACATGTCATACAAAAACTCTGACATCAATCAAAACACAAACACCCAATGCATGTGAATTGTTGCCCATGAACTAAGAAAGTAGAGAGCATCAGATTGTTTGTGTTGGTTTTGTGCAGCAATTAATCACCATTGATACCATTGGTGGGAGATAGGAGTGTGACTGGGTGTCCATGGACTGGGTTACCCACGGGTTCCGTTATCCGACTCGAAAAAAAGACCCGAAACTCAATAGGCCTGATAGTTAGCCGGCCAGAGCCCAAGCTCAATATCCTTAAAAAAAAGGGATTGGGCTTGCCTCCAAATCTATTACCCGGCTCAATAACCCGCCCTGCCCACCCACCCTTCTTTTGAAAAAAAAGTTAGACTGTTAGACCATTGAATTTGAAACTTTGAAATAAGTCCCCTAATGCCAAAATTTGATGTTTTAGAAATTTAGAAACTATAAATAATATATTATTTTTTTTTCATGTATTAAGTATACACGTTTTAAAGAGTAGAGTTGTACAAATGACAGATAAGTGGGTATGTGTCAACTTAGTTGGAATGTGCTCATTCTATTGTGATGTAGTTTCCCCATTAAAAAATAAAATTATTCATTATTTATTTTTTGTCCATTTTGACTATACTTTTGATTCAAAAATATTAAGTTACAAAAGTATTTATTATTTTTAAATGAAGTTGTATATAAAAAATCCCTTGAGCAAGCCTGCCATGGCCGCCCAAAAAGTCCCCTACCCAATAGGCTCACGGGTTGGGTTGCAAGTAGCCAAATCTACCTGAAGGCCGGCCTGGCCCACCCAATAACTCACCGGGGTGAGGGCTTGGGCCTACCCTACCTAGGCCCAACCCAAAAATAATTTCGCGGGCTTAGCTTAGCTCGGCTCGGCTCGGCTCGGCTCATGGACACCCTTAGTGTGAGGTAGGAAAAACAATAAAAGAAAGCAAAAGTATATACGTAGTTACATACAACGTACTTGTGTCAGTATACCATACGTACATCTATAAACAAAAAAGTTATATCGGTATTTTTTGTCTGACAATCTGGTAATTAATTACGGTGCGTTCAACCCCATTTTATAGAGTAAAGAATTGATAAGGTAAAGATAAAATAGTCACTCATGACTAATGACTATTCAAACATTGTCGGATCTCTATATTTTATATCAAAGTCATTAGTAAATTTGCTGTACTTTTCCTCTTTGATTTTGGGTTTAACATGTAGGTACTCAACAATTCCCACTCATGTGTGAAGCACATCACTTTTAGCTCCCTATTGATCTTGATCCACTTACTTTTTTCAAGTATCACGTGCAAATCCTCTCTTATGAGTCTACCACAATCCTCTTTATATTTCAAGATCCGTTGTCTATGTGTCTCAGTCCGCATCTTACCTATTCCTAGGAGGACTCAATGGTAAACTACTTCATCAATCTATCAAAGTAAAAAGTCTTGACCTGTAAACCTATAGACACCATATCAATATTGACTGGATATCGACCTAGTATCTCCCTTAACATAGTTATAACTGTAAGAGCCCAAATTCTTGAAGAACCATCTTCAACATTAGTACACTACATCACTTGAGTTCTACAACAATTCATCAGTCACATGTGTTGATGATATTCGTCCGGGATCCATGCACTTCATCAAAAAATCCGAAGATTGCTTCCTTAATGTACGCACTAGAGGAACCTCTCCTTTTTGATTGCTTATTGCAATCAAAAAGTATTGAACACCAAGAACTTCTACTGCCAAAAGGCATGAAGAAGCTGACATAACAAAAACAAGTCTTGTTGTTTAACAATAATCACCTATATTTCTGCTTTGATAGTTTCTCTATGATTGTCAATCTGATATGATAAAGTTGACCCGCCATAATCAACAATTTGCTTTGATTGGGTTGATCCAGGATCGTCAATTGAGCTCTAATAACTCAGGGTCATCAATCTAGCGTTGATTAAGTTGACACGAGTTGGTTAACAACATGTTTTGATATCACTTGCTAGTTTTGTGCAGCGATTACTCAACATGGATACCACTTTTTGGGAGATAGGGATAGGAAAAATAATAAAACAAAACCAAAAGATATATATGGTTCAATACAACATAATTACGTCGGTACACCGTACTTATATCTATGAACAAAGAGCTATATAGATGCTTTATAATCTGACAATCTAGTAACTAATTAAGTTGTACTCGGCGCCAATTATAGGGTGAGGAATTGATAAGATAAAGATAAAATAGACACCCATGACTATTCAAACACTGTCGGATCCCCATATGTCCTATTAGGTCTCCAATAAATCTATCTATAGTCAAGAATTAAAATTTTGTTTCAGAACGGTTAAAACGTCCGAAACGAACCAGTGATGGAATCAAAATTCTAATATTTTGAAGTATTCCATAATGTTTTGAGATGTTTTGTAATATTTCAATGCATTTGCACAATTTTTTTTTGGAATGTTTCAAGGTATTTTAAGATATTTTGATATAATTCGATCAATTTTTTAAAAAATAATTTTTAAAATTTTTATTTTTTTTTATATTTCCGAACGGGTCGAAACGTTTCTAAAACACGTCGAAACGTTTCTGTTTTTTAGGTGACCAAAACAATATACCGAAATAAAATTTTGATTCTTGTCCCCGATATATTACTGCCCTTTTAATTCTTTTTTTCTTCTTGATTTTGGGTTGTCACATGTAACTACCCAGCAGTTTGGAATGCCTATTGGATAGTGGAATTGAAATAACCAATTTTACCATTTTCTCCCTGTATTTTCATTGTAATATCATTTAAGAGTATAGAAGATTGGGTCTACAAATATTAGTTAAAAAGACAAAATTACCCTCCTTCATTCTAGATGTATCTGCCAGCAAAGATATGCAAAGCTGCACCCACCACCATCATTAACAACCCGCCTTCCTACTAGGGTTGGGCTCCAACTCCGACAAAGTCGGAGAGCACACATCCGACCTCTGACTTCGAACTACTATACCTCCGCCTCAACTCCACCTTGTCGGAGGTGGAGCAGAGTTTCGAAAATAGATACAATCCAAAAAAATAAAAAATAAACAATCAGAAATTTGTCAAATGTTTGCACAATATATCTAAGATTTGCTCATCGACCGAAGAGATGGAGGGCTGCTTTTCAGCGACTCAACTGTGTGTGAGAGAGAGATTCAGAGCATCCTTGTCGTTTGAGAGAGACCAAAAGAGAGGAAGAAACACAAATGTGGCCGAAAATAAAATAAATATACACATATATAAACATAGAGAGAGAGTTATTGTCTCAACTTCAGTCGAAGATTTGAGAGAGATTCAACCGGAGATCTGAGAGAGTTTCGCTTGTGCTGGTTTGTTGAAATCTTAGATCAACTTGTTGGCTAGAGAGAGATTGAGGGTTGCTCTTCGTCAACTCAATTGTGTGTGTGTGCGCTTGTGAGAGGGAGGGAGAGAGAGAAGAAAAATAAATGTGGACCATGTGGGTGTGGGTTGCAGAGGTGGAACTAAGTTATGGCCTAGGGGGGCCATGGCCCCCTCAAGTTTTGCAAATTATATATCATACATTTAAAATTTTGTTTTTGATTACAATTTATATGTCCCTCAAATTCTTTAAATTATACTTTCTACCCTTGAATTATATTAATCTTAATTTTATTTTATCCTCGACTATTTATTTGACCACATTGAACCATTTTGCATGCATCGGTAAATTTTGTAAAATAAAATTAATGTTAGATTTAAGAGGACAAACTATGATATATTCAAACACCATATAAATAGAGTTTAAAACCGTTATAGAATATGTATTTGAGATATTTACTCTCCTCTCTCTCTTTGCATTTTTCAAAGGTACAATGAAATCTAGTTGTACTCGGGGATTCCAATGCTTATGTGATGAGTTGATCTAATTTTTATGTCCAATTGGTTCGACTAATTTCAATTAATTTTACCAATTTTATTAAAAATAAAAATACAAAAATGTTTCGTGTGATGTTAATTTGAATAGGTTTTATACATTTGAAAATTTTACATTAACAATTTTATTGAATAACTCGTATTTAATTAAAATATCTCATTGCCTCTCTATTTGGCACCCCTCAAAATAATAAAATAAAAACTTGAACCCGTCCCTGGTGGGCCTGGGCAGTGGGCTTAGATAGAGATATGGATTTTAGAAACAAACAAAGATAGGGTTTTTAGATTTAAATATTATATAATTTATAATTTATATAAATTATTATTTAATAAAAATCAAAGTAAAGAGTCTGAGGTTTTTTTGGAAAGGATTTATAACTCTACCTCTGATTCGAGCAGAGGCGGACCGAAGTCAAAATTTTGGATTCTTACACACCCGTACTCCCCATCCATCATCATCAGTAGCATCCCTCTTCAACAAACCCACTTCAAACCTAGCGCAAATAAAATTAAAAGGAACAATTACAAATGGACTTACAGAGGCGTGCACAACCGATGAAGGATGGTGAATGCGAAAACCAGTCACACATGCAGAAATGATGGCAGAATAGAATAGGGGTTGACTGCTTCTTTGATTTTGATTTCGATCCATAAGCTATTTTTCTTCTATTCTATTTTGGTTGCAATATGGTGCGGTTCCATTTCAATTCGATTTCATTTGATTAGTTTTCTGGAATTTGATTCGTAGTGGATCAAATTTGATTTCCAGTAGGTTGATTTGATTTAGGTTCGATTCACTTTCTGCTATTTCATTTTTCAAGTTTTGATTTTAGATGTTCAAAAGTTGTCGTGAATTATGGAGAGTGGGGATTTGTTGGCAGAATTAAAAACCGATATTGTGCAAAGCACTTGTTTAGCTTCCACTCAGCTGCATTTGGTTGCTACCTAATTTTTCAAAAAATAATATTTATTGGTCATAAATTCTAAAAGTTTGGTGAATGCAAGTGAGGATGAGATCTGTGCAGGAGCATATTTTGATATGCACAGGATGATTATTTTTTGTTTCACTGGGTTTTGAGAAGCGGAGGCGGGAGCTGCCGGAGAAGAAGTGGGGTTATAGATCTTTCCCTTAACGTCGTTAAGTATGTATTTTAGTCCACAAACTACATGAAGTTTATGTGGCTTTTTGAAGGCGAGGGCCTCAGGCTGTTGTAGTCCATAATCATGTCGATTTGAGCACCGTATTATGTCCAAATCTGTTAGTATGGGACCGGGGCTTGTACGAAACTAGCTATTTTCAGGGTCTCGTAGTCCAAGTTAGCTGGCTCGACATTACTTTATTTCCCTTGTGGAAGACTATGCACTACACATGGAAAATTGTATTCTTGAGATTTGTTTACTAAAGTCTTCTACCAGATTTGGTACATACGAATTTTTTGTTTTTTCGTGGCAAACAATTTAATTCTTGGTTGTTATGGTTATGTACAGTGGTGCAAAATTTGCAGTCAAAATTCTGGAAACTTACAGGAAAATTAGGTATGTAATGGGCTAATGGCTACTTCATGTTCATAGCCACATTAAATATTGTTGATATCTTGCCTTAAGTTCATTTGATTGCAGTGCCACAGATCAAGCACATCCAAGAGATAAAAGTGATACATCATCTAGCAGTTCAACTTGTGAAACTCCTTTGTATGGAAATTGTGAAATTGGATTACTCAAAAGCTGCGTCAATATTTGGAGTTTCACTAAAAGTTGCAGCAATTACTGGGGTTCGTGAAGTTGTTGAAGAGATTTTAAGTTCATTTCCTGGTGCAATTTATCTTAAAAATGAGTTTAACCAGACAATTTTCCATCTTGCAATTGTGAATCGTCGTGAAAATATTTTCAATCTGGTTTATCAATTCGAGGAATTTAGCAACCTATTTATCTCAACAGTAGATAGCACAATGAATAATGGTCTACATTTGGCTGGTTGTTTGGAAAGTCAACAGAAACTGAATCTCAGAGCTCGTGCCGCTGGTGCAGCTCTACAGATGCAACTGAATTACAGTGGTTTAAGGTAACAAATGAATCTTTTTTATAATAGGAATATAATATATTTCATGTCATTTCATTGTGCTTAAGCAAGCATTGCCCTACTTGGCATAGCTTGGTTAACTACGCTAGGTAGATGTGATTATTGAACAGTGCTCCTTAGTGGTTGGTGTCTAGCCCCC